ACCAACAATTGATGGTTTTGTGCATTGTCGTCCTGTAATTTCCATAGAAGGTACTCATGTCTATGGAAAGTATGATATTAAGCTTTTGATTGCAGTTGCAGTAGATGCCATTGGACAAATCTTTCCACTAGCTTTTTCCATTTGTGCCAACGAAAGCGAAGAGACGTGGACGTTTTTTTTAACCACTTGAAGCAGCACATTGTCAAACAACGTTCAGGTATTTGCCTAATATCTGATTGACATGGTAGTATTATATGTTATGTACGGCATTTGCCTGAATGGCAGGAACCCTATGCATACCACCATTACTGTGTGAGGCACCTGAAGGCCAATTTCCAGAAAAAATATCACGACAAGGCCTTACATGATTTAATATGGATGGCTGCAACTGAGCACCAGTAGTGCAAATTTATGAGGCGCATGAAAGCGATCCGGTAGTTAGATCCACGAGCCTATACTTGGCTGATGGGACATGAGCTTCACATGTGTACATTGCATGCTGATGGTGGCAGACGGTGGGGAGCCCTGACTACAAATGTGTCAGAGTCATTCAACGGCTTGTTGAAGTCTGCCTGTGGATTGCCTGTCATTGCCATGGTCCAGATGACATTCAAACAGATTGCGGAGAGGTTTGTTGAAAGGCATAGAGCTACATCGGTATTGATGGACATGAGTATTCAATTTATGCCAATATCGATGAGAAGATTTGAAAATTACATGAGGCGAGCACATTGGTATTCATTTTTATAGTACGATCACGACCAGGGTGTTTTTGAAGTTAAGACTGCTATCCGCGGACACTGGAGGAATAATCTACAGACGGTGAATGAAGCCAGCATGATGTGTTCTTGTAGGAAATGGACCATCTACCACATGCCCTACGCACATGCCTTGAAATGCTTTCAACAAGTTGGTTTAGGGGCAACCAACTATATTGATAGGCAATACAATATTGCTGCATACGTAGACACGTATAGTGGGCAGTTGCAGCCATTGGGTGCTGAGCATTATTGGCCGTCGGAACCTTTTAAAATGGTGTGTAACAAGGACTATTTGCACAAGCTGCAAGTGTAAAAGAGAACGCGTATATGGAACCAAATGGATGCTGGTGACACCGTTTATGCGCGTAAATGTGGCATATGCTCGCAAACAGGACACAACCGTAGTAAATGTCCTTCAGGTGGTGTGCGTGGCGGTGGTAATCCAGCTCTTGGTGCAAGTTCGTCGAATATTCCCAACTATCAAGGATATACCTTGTCTTTTGTTTTTGTATTGTTTTTTGTAATACGTTTCTGTACTTTTGTATGTTGCAATATCTATCAAATAAAATTATGTTCCACAATCTTGTTACATCTTATTTTTTAACATGGCCTTTTGAATTAGGATGCTGATATGGTGGTTCAAATATTCAACTTATTGGTGTTATTAAAGAAGACCATCTAAAAATTAAAAAAAACCTATAAAATCAAGACATCCTTTATTAACCACCCATGCAGGTTCCCTCGATATAGTCTGGGGACGATCAAACTGGCGAAGTACACGCTCTGTGGTATGATGCTCCACAACATCGAGGCACATCATTGGGACGGAAGTGCTCCAAAGCAGTCGGTCGACCGAGCAATAATCGGGCAGATCAGCTAGCAACTCGTCGCTGTATGGCGTCCAGATGAACTATAAAATAATAACATAAAAGTGAGTATGCGTAACACAAGTGAATTTATAACAAGTAAGTTTAGGTACGTATTTACCTATCCGGCCTCTAGCATATCCAAGACATCCCTGATAAGGGGGAGATTATGATGAGCATTAGTGCCTCGGTAGTTCCCATGCCGTAGAACCCACTTCCTAGCTAGAGGGAGAAACAGAGGTGCTACACCTGACTCTAATGGTGGTAGAGGTGGCTGCAACGGCAGGATCCGCTGCCAGGCCCAAACCTAAGATAAAAGGTTGACATAAAATTTAAGAGTCATTTTGACTATATAGAATTCAAAATAATGAACAGAGTATTCGAATATGTTGTCACCTGTAGAAGCGGCAGAAAATCACATATGTCCACGTAGGAGCCCATGCTAGCCTGGCACATATTCCTGTACAGGTAGGCGAGAATAGCAGCACCCCAGCTGTATTGGGATAACTCATCTAGCTACTAGAGATGATGTAGAAAGCGCATACTCACTAGATTTCCCGAAGTATTCGGGAACAAGACACCCCCCCAAAAGAAGAAACAACGCCAACCTCGTGTACCGGTAAATATGGAGATCCCCTGTCTCACCGGTAATGTCGGGGTGCAATACCTCCATATGCTCTCTGATAGCTGTCACAGAAATGCGACTGCGCTCTCTAACTGTAGCCTCACCCTGTGGCCTGAAACTAGTATACTGCCCCAGCAAATCCAAATACTGGGCACGCGTCATAACTCTCATATACTGGGGCAGTGCAACGGCCAATCTATCAACACGCAGCCCATATAAAACCTGAACATCCTGAAGTGTGATGGTGGCCTCTCTAGGGCAGGTGAAAAGTGTGCGTCTCAGGTCACAACCGCTCTATCAACGCCATGATGAAAGACCAGTCGAGCTGTAGCCGCCCAATCTCAAAAATCCTAAGGAAGCTCGTAGCACGCATGCGATGGACTACGCGGGGATGTAAATCTCTCTGCCTCAAAAAGTCCCACAAGTCGTCCGGTTTCCTGGCGCGGAGACTCTGATCCAATAGATGTCCCTCCCATACGTGGTGGACCTATGGTCTCCCTGTAATACTAATATCTGATCCGAGGCTGGTCCAGGATGCACATGCGGCAAGTCCATGTCGTCTACTGTAAATTAAATAATATTAATTGTGTGTTTGTGTGTGACAATTTCAATATTTTTAAATTTTTGTTAGTTTAATAAATTAAATAATTAATTTTTAATTGGACAAAATATATAACTATAGGTTCCAGGCTCGATATTTGAGGCCCGGTAGTACCAAGCTATCCTTAATTATTATGTGTGTCAATTTCAAAATTTTTAGAATTTTGTTAGTTTAATAAATTAAATAATTAATTAGTTAATTTGACAGAGTAAATATCTATGGATTGCACGCTCGATATTTGAGGCCTAGTAGCACCAAGCTATCTTGAATTCTTATCTGTGTCAATTTCAAAAAATTTAGAATTTTGTTAGTTTAATAAATCAAATAATTAATTATTTAATTGGACAGAAAAATATCTATGGGTTTCAGGCTCGATATTTGAGGCCCAGTAGCACCAACCTATCCTGAATTCTTATGTGTGTCAATTTCAAAAAATTTAGAATTTGTTAGTTTAAAAAATCAAATAATTAATTATTTAATTGGACAGAGTAAATATCTATGGGTTCCAGGCTCGATATTTGAGACCCAGTAGCACCAAGTTATCCTGAATTCTTATGTATGTCACTTTTAATATTTTTAAAATTTTGTTAGTTTTATAAATTAAATAATTAATTTTTAATTGGACAGGGTATATAACTATGAGTTCCATACTTGATATTTAATTTGACAACACATATTAATTTGTTAGTTCTGTAAGTTTGTTTTATAAATTAAATAATTAATTTTGTAAAGTGTAATTGGATAAATTTGTAGTTAGTAGATACTTAAACTACAGAGACTCTACGCTAAAAGGCTCTATATTTTACTACGCTAAAAGACTCTATATTTTACTA